GGAAAGAATGGAGACTCAGACCAGCCTTTCTTTCCCTGCTGGCATTCACAATGGGGTAGAAAATATGTTTTCTTTTTCCAGAGTCAAAAATACTCTGTTTTGCACCTTTCACCGGTAAATAAATGCCTGTATTTTATTCTGTTACTGTATTGCTAACAGAAATACCAGAGACTGGATGGTTTAGAGAGAAACAGGGCTTATTAACTCACAATCTTGGTGATTGTAAAATCCAAAGGTATAGATAGGCCCTGGCCTTAGGCAGCCCTATAGGAAGTCTAATGGAAGCACACAGAATGGTAGGCAAACAGAGACAGAGTGAGAACGAGATGGAGTGAGCTTGTGACAACTCTTTTTTCTTTTCTTTTTTTTGAAGTTGAACAACATTTTTTTTTCTTACGTAACAAGGCATCGAAGAACGAGGTCCAAAACTGGCCTCACCGTTGAATATTGTCAGGGTTCTGAGTCAGCTTCTCTGAGGTTCTGTTTTCTCTTGATTCTAAGATATTGCAGCAACTCCAGGTATCATGTTATAGAAAAATGTGAGAAATAGCAGGAAGTGGGAATGGAATCTTCCCAATATATCTGTCTTTACTGAATGAGGAAAATCTTTCCCAGAAGCCCCATCATATCCCAGTGACTAACGCTGGGACATACTGGCCACTCTGAGCTGCGTAGGAAGCTGGAAAATTAACACCTGAAATCTTCAGATTCTAAGGCAAGACATGGATGTTGTCAATAACAAGAGGAGTTTGGTATGCCTGCTGACAGAAGTCACGAAAAATCATCAAGAACAACAATGTGGAAATTAAGAAACACTCTCCTAAATTTAAATTACTCCTGAATTAGGAAGAAATAAAAACAGATTATTATAAGACCACTTTTTACTTCATCAGTTTGTTTTTATTTTCTGTTAATTTTTTAATTGCTTGGATGTTTGGTAGTCTTGAATAGTCCAATGATTGTATTTGAGTAGTCTTTTTGTTTTTTGTATATATGCATGCATTTAAAGACTGTAGAAATTCTTCTGGAAGTATTTCTGGCTACCATCTTATAGCGCATAAAAATTTTCTTTTCATTACCATTCAGAGCAATTGCATGATTTATTTCCTTGTTAAAACAAAAATAATTTGGCTATTGTATCTTCCCCAAAGAAAACTGAAACTTTCAACTACTGTTAAAATTATTACACCACGGTCAGAAAAAGTGATTCTGGAATGTTTTAGAGACAAATTTATTTCCAACCTTTCTCTGCTTCTTGGACAATCACAGCCTAAACAATTTATATCCATATAGTTTTTCTTTTATATGAAGTTTATGACTTTAGTATAACGCTGAACAGAGGAATTCTCACTTACATTACATTCCTCAAGTTTTTCTCTAAGAGGTTGTGATTTGTCTAAGCTAGTGGGCTTTCACTGTTCCTTCCATTCATATGGTTGCTTGCCAACATAAATTCTCTGATAATTAATAAGGGGTAAGGGCTAGTAGAAGGTTTTTCCACATTTCTTATATTCACATGTGTCCCATTATGCATTCTCTGATGTCAAACAGTAGCTGAGTCATGACATAAGGTCTTCTCACATTCTTCATATTCACAGGACTTTTCTTCAGTATAAATCACCTGGTATTGAATAAGTTGTGAGCCATGACTAAATGCCTTCCCACATTCCTTACATTCATATGGTTTCTCACCCGTATGAATTCTGTAATGTACGGGAAGATGTGAGACCCATTTGAAGGCCCTACCACAAACTTTACATTGGTAGGGTTTCTCTCCAGTGTGAATTCTCTGATGTTGCTTAAGTTATGAGCTTACCCTAAAGGCCTTTCCACACACCTTACATCCTTACATTCATAAGGTTTCTCACCAGTATGAATTCTCTGATGTCAAGAGTTGAGCCTTGATTAAAGGTCTTCCCACATTCCTTGCATTCATGCAGTTTCTTACCAGTATGAATAGTGTGATGTCGAATCAATTGAGATTGATGACTAAAAGTCGTCCCACATTCTTTACATGCATAGGGCTTTTCCCCAGTATGGATTCTATGATGTACTTTAAGATGTGAGATCCAGTTGAAGGCTTTGCCACATTCTTTACACTGATAGGGTTTCTCACCTCTATGAATTTACTGATGTTCAGTCAACTGTGAGCTTCGACTAAAAGCCTTTGCACAATCTTTACATTCATAAGGTTTCTCGCCAGTATGAACTCTCTGATGCTGAATGAAATTTGAACCAGAATTAAAGGCCTTACCACATTCCTTACATTTATACGGTTTCTTACCAGAATGAATATTCTCATGCTAAATTAGTCGTGAGCCATATTTAAAGGCCTTCCCACATTCCTTACATTTATAGGGTTTCTCATTAAGTCCTGATGATTAATAAGGAATTCCTCCTGCCAGAAGTCTTTTCTACATTTACTGTATTCACAGGGTTTATCTCCACTGTGAATTTTATGGTAAAAGGTAAGGGATGCTTGCTGGTAAAAAGTGGGCATTTCTTCATGACTGATTATCATCTGACAAATGTCTATTTGGATTCCCCAGTTGTCTGTTAAATTGGCTTCTGCAATCACAATCATCTTGAAAACTTGAGCATTCAAGACCATAACTTGCAAGGCTTTCCATTATCTCCCACTGGGGTAATTTAGCTTCACAAACGTGCTGCTTTGGAGGTAATACATGGGTGTCATCTCTGGGCTCCAATTCACGGTTCAAGTCCTGACCTGAAAGTTTACTGTCTCTCTCTCTGGTCAAACTGGGCACAGACTTTCTGTCACCATTCTGTTACCTTCCAGGGCTCTCTGCATTGTTCCAGGAAGGAGACCACATCGGGTTTGGAAATGGCAAGGCCCAGTGGGACTAGGTTGTTATAGTCTCCAACATCACATCTCTGTACAACTCCTTCTGAGCAGGTGCCAGCCATTGCCATTCTTCTTGAGAGAAGACTATGGCCACATACCTGAACAATTCTGACCTAAGGAACATGACTTTTAGAATTTCAAGGGCTGTGGGTCCTTCTTCTGGTTCCTCTCTTGGGGAAGGGCAGAGTCCTGAGATGGCAGAGCTGTTGTGTCCTTGGTTCTGGTTGCCACCACGCCCACGCCCCCCCACAACCCAGAGCGCGAGCCCACCTCAGCACAAGCAGTCTCACCGCCCGGAAAGCTTGTGACAACTCTTAAAGCAAACAATGAGGCAGGGAAGTGGCATGGTTGTTTGGGTG